CGTATCAACATCATTCAACCAACGTCTGTCTCTGTAATCCTGCAAATCCACATACATATTTTGCTGTCTCAGCCTGACGTGCTTCCTCGTACACCGTTGTTTATTTCCGCCAAGGTACTTTTGTCTTGCCTCAGTGCTCATAATCCAATTTTAGTGCAACCCTCTTCCCATACCCTCTCCCACCCACTCCAACCACCAACAATGTTCCAAAATAAAAACACCCATTAGCTGTTAAATAGAAATTAAGAAACCATGATATTTCGGGACAGTGGGTTTGGTATAATAAATTTTTTTGTGGGTCTTTTTCCAAATTTTGTTTTTCAAGGATTTAGCAATGTTTTATCTTCTTCAAGGACTATCCAAGCCACAAGTGTGGATTTTTTAAGAAAAATGTTTGACGGGCTCTTCAGATTATAAGAGTGAATATTTGAATAAGCCTTAGACGTGAATTTTCAAGAATATTTTCTAGCGAATTTTTTTCTTAAAGGACTATCCTGTCATAAAAATATATTTCTTAAGATAATATTTTTTCAGAACTCTACAGGTCATAAACTTGTGTTTTATAACAATACTCTTCCTAGGACTTCAAGCCATTAACCTGGATTTTTGAGAATATGAAAATTTTCAGGAAAATATCCAGGACATAAACGTGGAACGAGAGAACCCTCCGGTTCCAAAATGTACATATTTTAGGAATATTTCTTCGAGGACTCGAAATACGAAATACTTTTTTTGAGGACGCTCCATGACATAAACCTGGACTCTACAGGGTGAGATAAAAAACTGCAACAAAGTCGAAAGCCATAATTTTGACATTTTTTTAATGTTATTGAATGAAAGCAAAAAATGTCGGAAATATCATCAAATTTTAGAATAAGTTTAGATTTGTTCGAATTGGTTACCTTTGACACGAATTATGGCCTTCAAATGGCCAATGAAACCGCCACATGCTGCCCGAATGTTGCTCTGCGGTATTTTGGCCGACCCTTGTGTGCCCAAGGCTTTAATACACCCTCCAGAATATTCCACGATAATATTCGTCATTTATTATAATGCCACGGTCGATTAATACGAGCGGAGAGTGACCATCGGCTGTTATGGTGGCCCCCACCATCTCCATGGCCAGCTCTTGAGTTCTGGTGGCCAACCGAAGGTGCACATTTATATATATTTTCTTCTGTCCACTTCATTGACGCCGGGCTACGTTACAAGTGCCAGTACCTTTTTCCTGGAAAATTCTCTCCAAAATACTTTTGTACGGTTGTAAACAATATAATGAGCTGTCACTGGAATAATTTAACAGCTGCCGGACGATTGGCTTAGAACAGCAGAGAGGTTGGTTGCAGTTTTTTTACTCACCCTGTATATATTCAACAGTTTGAACAACCACAACGCAAGTCAAAATATATTTAAAAAACCAACATTGGCTAAGGTAGACACCTGCCGGCAGGACCGACTCATACTGTTTACCATGATTATTTTTCCAAGGAATCTTCAAGAATTTTAAGAATATTTCACATATTCTACGAGAATTTTTCAAAAAAAAAAAACAAAATTCCGGAAACTTTTCAAGATTTTTAAGATTACTCCAAGCTTTAAATGTGGATATTTTTAAAGATTTAATCAAGGACTCTTCAAGAAATAATCGCCAATATGTTAAGAATATTTGTCAACAAATTCTAAAATTCTAAACATATTTCTTTCAAGGAATCTCTGAGCTATAAACTCATAAAGTTATAAATAAAGTTATTTGTTAATAATTATTATTTTTTTTATTTATTTATATTTTTTTTTTTGGAATTGTAAGTTTTTATCTTTTATAGAATCACTGTTCCTTCATGCTAGCCTATCCATGAAACCCATATCATTTCAATCACACTCTCACGCAACAACAACAATAAACAATTGCATGGCAGTCAGTCAGCCAGCCAGCCATCCACCCATCATGAGTTTTCAGAGTATGAGGCATCATGCCGCTTTTTAAGAAAAATTCCCAATGGTGGCTTTGGGTGGGTGAGTTTGGTATATGTTGCCATGACTTTTCTATCCGCCTGACGCATGTTGACAGGCGACAGTCATGCGGCGTATGGTCGATGGTTACAAGTGTCTAAACAATTATAATTGTTTGCATTTGTAACTTCTTAATTGTTGACACAATGTTTGTTGCAACGGCTTAAAGTGAGATGGAGACAAAAAAACAAAAACGAAAAAAAGAAGCGTGCAACAAAAGCAACACCGTAGGACTTACAAAAATAAATAATTGAGGATCTTCAAATGTTAAAGGAATATCAATTTCCCCCTTTGCTTGCTATAAAATTTGAGTTCTGATTTTACTTTTTTTGTTCTGCCTTATTTGCACATTCGTTTCACATATGTTGTTATCCTTTGGTTTTTTTCATTAAATTCCACCCTGCCTTATTTTTCCTCATTTTCCGTTGCATGTCTTTCGTTCCTGTTTAATCTTCTTAGAATGTTTGTAATTATAATCGGCTGTCATCCGTAAATTTGAAATTAGCATTGGCTTTACTTAATTTTGTAAATTTTGCTTCACATCTGGCGTTGTTGGGATCAACAAGGACACGTAAGGAAGTTTTCCATGAAGTTATTAATTAGAGCCCATGAATTTGAAAAAAAAAAATCTAGACGTTCCCGAATGAAATGAAATCAAATTTTTAGTCTCCCTTCGAGTTCATTTTCTTCGGGTACGTCTAGATTTTTTCCAATTCATTGACTCCAATTAATGATTTCATGGAAAACTTCCTTCTTGATTATAATTGTTCTGTTCCAGAACTGCAAGACTGTAAAACTTTTTACTACGACAACTTATTTTTCTTTTATAACGTCGAAAAATATAAAAAACTAGTAGGTCTTTGTAAGGTGTGGAACAGAGCAAATTTAATCCCATGATAATAAAGCTTTAAAATTTGTGTATTTTTTCCGATTTCTAAAGAAGTTAATATGTATCAGTCGATGTGACCGACAGATGTATACCCTCAGCCAGTGTTCGATTATTTAAGTATATTTTGACTTCTATTAAGATTATTCAAATTGTTGACCCTCTATGGAGTAGCTTCCAAAGGAATGTGCCAATATTGTCCATTTCGTATCGGATCTACGTAAATAAGATATAAATATTGCGACGTGCCAGGTTTATATGAAAGTCGATATAGTCTTCACTTTATATGAGATAATTTTTAGAAAAAGTTAAAATGTATGCGAGGTACCAGATATGGTCGACCGAAGTATCCCATTTTCACACACCATCTAATGCAGATAAAAATATTGGTATGGGCAAAATTACAAGAAATTCAAACATTTTTATCCAATTTTATGCCAAATCATAAATTCCGATAAATTTCATATTCATATCAGGTTACTGGTTGAGAGAAATATTCAGATATATCAAGTTGTAAAGAATCGTCGATTTGTTTCGCAAGTTATAACAGATATAAGTAATAGAAATCGTGACCCTTGTGGGTGAGGTACCAGAAGGGGTTCGCAGATATATTCCATTTTCACAAGAGATCTCGTGTTAGCAAAAATGATTGTTTGTGTGAAATTTGAAGAGGGAGATGGATGATTATTTCGCTTTCTTTGTCCGTTTTGTTTTTTCAAAATCTTGAACCCTATGTGGGGGAGGTATCAGAAGGAATGGTTCGATCTCTACCATCTTTATAACAGATCTTGTGTTGATGGAGATATTGAGAAGTCTGAATGGATTCGGATGTTAATTTCGTTTTTATGAATTTCATGGATATTCAAAATTTTGACCCTTTGTAAGGATGTACCAGAATGAGGACACCGATATATTACATCCTCACACCCATCTTTGGGTTAATAAAAATAATGTGATGTGGGTAATTTGAAGACCATCGGACTCTTACATCCCATTTAATAAGAGTTATGATAATTCATAATTTTGATCCTTTGCAGTGCAGGTGCCAGAAGGAGTGGACCGTTATATCCCATCCTCACAGCAGATTTATTGTTAGTAGAAATAATGGAATGTGTGAAATATAAATAGTACCGGATGCTTATTTCGGATTTTATAATCGTTTTGGTTATTCAAAATTTTTACCCTTTTGGGGGAGGTATCAGAAGGAGTTGACCGATATATCCCATTTTTACAGTTGATACAATGTTATTAGAAATAATGGGATGTGTAATATATGAAGAGAACAGAATGGACCGATGTATTCCATCTTCACTGCAGATCTTGTGTCAGTAGAAATCATAGGATGTATGAAAAATGAATAGAACCGGAAACTTATTTCGGATTTTATAATCGTTTTGGATATTCAAAATGTTGATCCTTTGTGGGGGAGATACTAGAAGGAATGGCCCGATCTCTACCATCTTTATAAAAGATCTTGTGTTATAAGAAATATTGAGATGTGTCAAGTCTGAGTGGAATCGGATATTAATTTCGCGTTTCATGAGCTTCATGGACATTTAAAATTTTGAACCTTTGTCGGGTAGGTACCAGAAGAATTGGATCGCTATATTCCGTCTTCACTCCAGACCTTGGGTTTATGAAAATATTGTGATGTGTATAACAATCGGACTCTTACATCACATTTTATTAGAGATATAATTATTTAAAATGTTCGCCCTATGTGGGGGAGGTACTTTCTGGAGTGAACCGAACTTTCCTATTTTCGCACCTGACCTAGCACTGATGCTGGAATATAATATATATTTTTTTTAGAAAATTGCGACCTTTTTGGTGGGAGGTACCAGAAGAAGTGGACCTATATTGGCCATCTTCGAACTTGATGATAATAATAGTACGATGTGGCAGATTTCGACCAAATCGAATACTCCTTTCGAGAGTTATAGTGCGCTCCAGCCAGCCTAACAGACAGGCAGATGGGATTTGACCCAAAGGGTCTAAAAACGTTATTTCGATGAGGCACATATACCCTCTCTAGCCATATGGCTGAGGATATAAAAAGTATTTTATTAATGTCGATTGGAAGTAAGTGCAAATGAAAAATATCTGTCAGTTTCCAATTTTTTTTATTTGTTTTCAGTGAAATACAAAGTAGCCAATACGAACGCTACATTTAAGGCTCAAAAATAATAGACCCACTGAATTTTTCAATCCCTTTCGTAACTCCCACACTCTTTCCTCGTTTTCCAAACACCAGATGTTTTTTTTTCAACTTCCCTCAATCCTTTTATTTATTTGCAAGCATTCAAGTCCCTATTAGCCAATAGCTGAAATTGAAAATAAAATGTTTTATTTTATTTAAAACTTGTCTACACAACATATTTCATTGGGAAAATACAAATCATTTCCTTTTTCAAATTCTTGGCAATCGCATCGATTTGATTTTTAATATTTCTTATGATTTTCATTTCACCATCTAAATGGGTGTCGACTAAAGAATCTACAGCTGAATTACCTTGCACCAGAACGGGTAGAATTTCTTGGCCCACAGTGGTTAGTATCTCAGCGATTTTCAAAATCATTGCAGGATCTGGTAGACCGGGTATGGCACGACTCGGCTTCATATCCTCTTCCTGACTCTTTGGTACCGGTTGACCCATCATTTCGGCCGAACGACGTCGCCGATTGCCAGATTCATTTGAATCTTCCACGGTTTCCTCGGAAGAGGAATCATCCTCCTCTTCTTCTGATTCCTGGGGCATGTCGTCCTGTTTAATGCCGAGGATATTTAGGGAATAATTTTATATTTTTTTGAATTTGAGTATCGTTTACCTGACATTTCACCAACTGTACCACAATGAAAATAATTGCAAAAATTGCCAAATTGCGTTTCAAATGAAAGGACATTTTGTTGCTTTCAGCTGCGAGTTGACAAGTTGCAAGTTGTTAGTTGTTAGTTTATCAACAATTCAAAATTAGGGAATGGAGTTTCTCTAATAGTGCAATTGTATTTATAGATACGTTGCTTGATCATTGTTTTAGCGAAATTGCATGAGGATCTCAATTTTATTCTCAAATTAGTTCAATTTAGTGTGTAAATAAGCTTCGCATCAGAGATGGGATGTATACATACTGATGCTTGAAATCGTTTTAAAATCGATTTCAGCTGGTGGCATATATAGATTTTCACAAGAAGAAAAAAAGGTCCTCCAAAATATGTGTGAATTGACGAAAGCCATGTATCTGAGACACGAACGTGGATTTTTTTTAAAGAATTTTTTTCCAAGGAACCAAAAACGTGGATTTTTTTAAAGAATTTTTTTCCAAGGAACCAAAAACGTGGATTTTTTTAAAGAATTTTTTTCCAAGGAACCAAAAACGTGGATTTTTTTAAAGAATTTTTTTCCAAGGAACCAAAAACGTGGATTTTTAAAAAACGATTTTTCAGGGACCAACAAATGTGGAATTTTTTTAAAGAATATATTTCGAGGAATATCAGGAAAAAATATTTATACAAGGACAATAAACGTGGATTTAAAAAAAATATTTTTCCAAGGACCAACAAACGTGGATTTTTTTAAAGAATATTTTTCAAGGAATATCGGAAATGTGGATTAAAATATATTTATCCAAGGACCAATAAACGTGGATGTAAAAAAATATTTTTCCAAGGACCAATAAACGTGAATTTAAAAACAAATATTTTTCCAAGGACCAATAAACGTGGATTTAAAAAAAAAATATATTTTTCCAAGGGCTAATAAACGTGGATTTAAAAAAATATTTTTCCAAGGACCAATAAACGTGGATTTAAAAAAAAAAATTTTCCAAGGACCAATAAACGTGGATTAAAAAAAAATATTTTTCCAAGGACCAATAAATGTGGATTTCTTAAAAGAATATTTTTCCAAGGACCAATAAACGTGGATTTCTTAAAAGAAAATTTTGCAAGGACCAATAAACGTGGATTTCTTAAAAAAATAATTTTCCAAGGACCAAAAAACGTGGATTTTTAAAAGAATATTTTTCCATGGACCAAAAAAAAAAATTTAAATTTCAAAATAAATTTCTTAAAAAAATAATTTTCCAAGGACCCAAAAACGTGGATTTTTAAAAGAATATTTTTCCATGGACCAAAAAAAAAAATTAAATTTCAAAATAAATTTCTTAAAAAAATAATTTTCCAAGGACCAAAAAACGTGGATTTTTAAAAGAATATTTTTCCATGGACCAAAAAACGTGGATTTTTAAAAGAATATTTTTCCATGGACCAAAAAACGTGGATTTTTAAAAGAATATTTTTCCATGGACCAAAAAACGTGGATTTTTAAAAGAATATTTTTCCATGGACCAAAAAAAAAAAATAAATTTCTTAAAAAAATAATTTTCCAAAGACCAAAAAACGTGGATTTTTAAAAGAATATTTTTCCATGGACCAAAAAACGTGGATTTTTAAAAGAATATTTTTCCATGGACCAAAAAACGTGGATTTTTAAAAGAATATTTTTCCATGGACCAAAAAAAATAAATTTCTTAAAAAAATAAATTTCCAAGGACCGAAAAAACGTGGATTTTTTAAAGAAAATTTTTCCATGGACCATAAAAAATAAATTTCTTAAAAAAATAATTTTCCATGGACCAAAAATCGTGGATTTTTTAAAAAATTAATTTCCATGACCAATAATCGTGGTTGTTTTAAGGAATATTTTTCCTAGGTCTTGTCAGTGGGATATAAAGGTAAGGAAACCCTAAGAAATTAAAATTAGAAATTAGAAATTTAATTTATATAAAAAAAAGATGAATTAATGTTCTCTTCCTACATTACCTCCGGACAATAACTGTTGTATGTCATTAGGCACCTCTTCACATTTCAATACCAATAATCAGTGTGCGCCATCTAGATTTCTCCAAAACACGATTATTTTGTATTTTTTCAAAGTTACTGGTAGAAAGCCTCGCTAATACATCATATGCTTTTTGACTCATTCTGCCCTCTATGTGTCAATATCACAATTAAAATAATTTTTATTGTGAATGGTTGGTAATGAGTCGCATTGCCAACTTGAATAAACTTAGAATCTTCAATGTATTTGGCAACACAAACATTAATGTGTTTTGTCACTTTCACTAGGTCTCGTTCGTAAACAACAGAGCTCCCCATTTTGCTTTGATTTTTTATCGGCCATTGTGTTTTGACTTCTGATTTGTTTTGCTTGGGAACGTTCTTTACTTTTGTGCTAAAACATTCATGTGTTTGGTTCATGGTTTCATGTGGACGAAGCCGGCGAAGAGCTTGAAAATTATTAAGTGAACAATATTTATATCAGGTATGATTTAATTTTCCAGCTATTTGCGAATACACACTGAGTTTTAACAAAATGAATTTTTATTCTCTTGACAGATAGACGTATAGTTACATACCGGCGGCTGGAACCACCTGATTCGTAATTAGTCCAGGATTGTTGGCCAAACCCAATGCATGACAACAATAAGGTAACCGTACCTGTTTGAATAACCGGAGAAGGAACATACATACTCTAAAGTAGTAATATATAATTCAAAGGCGTCTTGTTCTGGGAAGAACAAATTTTAGGTGTAAGCTTCGTATATGAACTCCTCAAAGGTCTGTTTGAAAATTTTGACGTGAATTGTCCCTGACATAAATGATAAATCCATATTCATGAAATGTATAAAGAGTAAATTAAATTAGAAAATTATTCCTCGGATAGAGATTGCTATAAAAAGTATTCCTTCGAGTGGAGATTTAAGACGGAAACCGGAGTTTTTTTATAACTCGGACACGCGCCACAAAATCATTCAAGTCGTCATGAAAATGGCCACCGGCAAAGGAATTAAACTTCCACTTACAAACTAAATTTGCTTGTAAACTTCATGTGTACCTCCAAATAGTCGATCTTTTCTAGACTTACCTCTTTCTCCTTTGTACATGTGAAACATTTTCATTATACCCTCAGCCGTATGGCTAGATAGATGGTATATATCATTTGATACGACCAAAAAGTGCCTAATCGAAATAACGGTTTTAGACCCCAGGTCTCTTTGGACTAAATCCGTTTCAGGACATTTGGAGTCGATCTAGCGATGGCCGTCCGCCCATCTGTATGCCTGGCTGGTGCGCACGATAACTCTCGAAGGAAGTATTCGATTTGATCCAAACTTGGTACATCGTAATATTATTGACAAACTTAGATCCAATACGGAGATGGGCAATATCGATCCACTCCTTCTGGTACTTCCCCCACAAAATCTCGAGATTTTCAAACAACTTTGCAAATCGCAATATTTGCATCAGTGCTAGATTAAGTGCGAAAATGTACAATATCGGTCCACTCCATAAAGTTCCTCCCCCACAAAGATTCAAAATTTTGAATAATTATAACTTATAAAATATGATGTAAGAGTCCGACTATGTTCAAATTACACACATCACAATATTTTTTTATTAACCAAAGGTATCGTTGGTCCACTCCTTTTCAGAAGTACCGCAAAAGGTCAACATTTTGAATATCCAATAATAATACATTCAAACTTGGATAACCAAAACGGTTATAAAATTCGAAATAGGCATCCAGTTCCCCTCATATTTCACACATCTCATTATTTCTACCAGCACAAGATCTGATGTGAAGATGGGATATATAATGGTCCACTCCTTCTGGCACCCTTTCCGCAAAGGGTCAACATTTTGAATATCCAATAAGCTCATGTAAAGCGAAATTAATATCCGATTCAATTCCTACTTGGCACATCTCAATGTTTTCATCAACACAAGATCTGTTTTGAAGATGGTACAGATCAGAACATTTCTTCTGGTGCCTCCCCCACATATGGTTCAAGATTTTTGAGAAACAAAACGCTCAAACAAAGCGGAAAAAGCATTCAACTGTCTTAAAATTTCACACATATAAACATTTTTGCTAACACAAGATCTGTTGTGAAGATGATATAAATCTGCAAACCCTTCTGGTACCTCACCCACAAAGTCACAATTTTCAATACTCTTATCTGTCATAACATGCGAAACAAGTCAGCGATTCTTTACAACTTGCTATATCTTAATATTTCTCTCAACCAGAAACCTGAGATAAATGTGGAATACATAAGTTCGCCTAAAATTTGATATAAATGTTCGATTTTTAATTTTGACCATACCAATATTGTTTCTGTATTAGACTATATCTGGTACCTCACGCACATTTTATAATCTTCCAAGAATTATCATATCTCATATAAAGTGAGAGAATTAGTGGATATAGTCCAAATCTGGCACGTCGCAATATTTATATCATAGTTATTTAGGTCCGATACGAAATGGACAATATTGGACCATTCCTTCGGAACCTACTTCATAGAGGATCAACAATTTGAATAATCAAAACAGGAGTCAAAATATATTTAAAAAATTGAACATTGGCTGGGGGTATAGATCTGTTGGCAAACCCGATTGATACTTTTTAACTTGGTACATGGAATATTACGTTGTACCAAGGGTTTTCCCTTTGCTCAATATTAAAATTTAATTTTTTCATGTTGAAATTTTTTGGTGGAGGTACTCGAAGGAACTTTACTCGATATAAGTTTGATAAAAAAACGACTCCAAATATCCTGAAATCTAATAAGTCAATTGAGGACCTAGACCCTAGGACCTAGACCTAGACCATTATTTAAATGAGGCACAATTTGACAGTATAATATAACCTATTTAGAGGGCTGCATACCTATTTCTAGCTTCCATTGTCCCTGAAAAATACGTTTAAAAGCCCATTTAATGGCTTTTGTGGTCCTTGGTTGCTTTTGTAAAAGTATTTCTGAAAATATACATTCTTAGCTTTCTTGATTTGAATGATGAGTTTTTTAAAATCCATGTTTCCCGCTTGGGTGGTCTTAAAATTTCCATTTTTAGCAAGACGTTAATGGACAAAATATTTAAAAAAAAATCTTTCTCCGACGATTAAGGAAACAATTTTTTTCATTTGAAAGGATTTCAGAATGTAAAATTTAAAAATCACCCAACCTTTAAGACCCAACTCTACAAAAACCCACCATTCATATTTTCTCCTATTTTACAGATATATCTTACCAAACAAACATGATGGACACGAGGTCAAAACTATCCACGGAAAATTTAGAAGTCTTCATCAACGATTATCTCAAGGAAGATCTAAAACATTTGGAAAAATACATCAATCAATACAATGAAGAAATCATGGAATATATTCAACTAAAAAACACAATTCAAACAATGCGAGACAATTTCACAGATGGCTATAAAACTCAAATGAATATTGGTGGTAATATTTTCATGGAAGCGAAGGTGGATAATTTGGATACAATTCTGGTGGACATTGGCAAGGGGGTGTACATACCATTCACGGCCGAGGAGGCACTGAAATTTGCCGATTTTAAAATAAAAATCCTTAACAAGGAATGTGATGTGCTGCGCGAGGAGAGTGTAAAGAAACGTTCGGCCATCAAGGTGACGTTGATGTATATGGCGGAGCAGGAGAAATTGGTGGCTGGTGACAAGGATTAGTTGAAAGATATGAATATAATATCAAAAAGAAAAAAAATTAGAAATGATAAATTAAGATAGACATAATTATTCAGTAAATGTATATATTAGTAATAAAAGTTTCCAAAGCTTTTAAAAAGCGGAACTCCACCCAGTTTTCTTTAAAATTATACAACAACTGCAACCCATTTTACTTCGTTTTTTTATCAGTTTAAAACTAATTGATTGTTTGATTACATACCTTTTGGTCCCGTTCGGAACGCCCATAGCTCACATAACTAGCTTAGATTAAAATCGCAAACTATTTTCATTGTCAACTGAAAACTACATGCTTGTTCGAAAGCCGGGCCAAGTAAAATGTTATTGTTTACAATGTTATAACGTTTGAACCCAATACGAAACAAACACCATGGTATTCCTTAGAGAGTCGTGGTCTTTATGCTGTCTGTTTTTGTTGTCTGTTGGCATACCAAAACACGAAGGTGGGTTATTCGAAAAATTTTCCATTCATTGCAACTAGAAATGTGGAGTTGAGAGATACTCTTTACAAATACATAATAAGCATTTGGACATGTTGTGGTGGTGGCACAAGGTATGTTTTTGTTCGTTTGGTGTGTTTGTGTATTGTTACACAACTTCTGTGCCAAAAGGATAACAATTGTGAGATACCGCAATCATTTGCACTACAAACGTTTCTCATGTGGTGTAGATTAAATAAAGGTTAGAATAAATAACTTAAAGTTCATTCAAACCAACAGTTTTATATGGTCACACAGAGCATGATGAGTTTTCACAAGAAAGAGGAAATGTTGACTAAATTTAATTGAATAAGACGTGTTTGAATGCTACTGGGGGTATAATTTACCTTAAAATTACCGAAAATTTTAAATACAAGATCTATCAAAGATAGATCTAGTTAAAGATAGAAGACATTGTGAAGGTCATTTATAGATGGAAGATTTTCAGAAGATGTTAGGCAGGAGAAGACCTTGCAAACATATAATCTATGGGTGGATATTTTCTCAAAATATATTAAGAGTATTGAAAGCCGATGCATAGATCTTATACAGTTAGAAAGTCATTTGAAAGACACAGTTGTTACAGCTCTTTCATAGATAGGAGGCTCATAAAAGGTATTCAGACGTCCAGGGGTCCCCTTTAGATAGAGTAAAAATCAGATATTTTCAATAATTAGAAAACATCCGAGGAGTTTTCCAAAGGCAGAGTGTATTTAGGCAATCTGGAGATGTGAAACTTCTTCATATAGAGGAGAACTTTCAGCGTTTTTTTTTTTTGGGTTTAAGGCCTACAGGACGCCAGATATCAATTTCCCGGAGTCTTCTATGAAGAGAAATTTAAAAGTCATGCCAGAGATATTCATTGGTAGAAAGAGGGTCTTTACATATACATATTTTCTATGGACAATATATCTTTCTGGGACAGCAGGTCTTTCAGAGACCTTCTGTGATCTTTGAAGCATGGAGGAATTTTTGAGGTCTTCAATAGAAAAGGCTTACACGGCTCTTCTTACATATAGTGACCTTACAGAGATTTAAAATAAACAAACCTTCTGAGGGTCTCTTGGAATAGAAGGTAAATAATCCTTACGGTAATATTCATGATTAAGAGATGGAACTTTCAAGCGGTTTTCTATGGATGGAATATCTTTGAGAGATAGAAGATCTTTCATAGGTCTTTCACATATTGGAAAACTTCCGGAGCATTTTCACATATATCAAAATTGTATAGACCTTCTGTAAACATTAGGACGACCGAAAAGACTCCTCATACCTTCGGGCTACCTTCCATAGGTCTTAGAAAATCAAACCTTTCTCGGGCCTTCTATTAATATAAAAGTAGAAGACCTTACGGCGATATTCACGGATAAGAGAACTGCATTTTCAGAGGTTTTCTATGGATGAAAAGATTTTCCAGAGGATTTTAATAGGAAGGTAAACTTCGGGACCATTTCCATAGATTGAGTAATTTTCAGAGGCCTCTTGCAGGCCTAGGACATCAGGACAGGAGGATAGGATATCGTTCTGAGATCTTAGGAGAAAACTTAATATTGTGTTTTATGGATAGAAGGTAATAAGTCCTTCGGGATATATTCATAGATAGAAGTAGCGACTATTCACCGGCTTTCTATGTTTAGAAAAACGTCCATATTCATAGGTGTTCTATACATCAAACAAACTCTAGAGGTCTTCTTTGCATATTCGATCTTCTAGAAGGCTTTTACGACCGGAAGATTTTATACAGATCTTCTTTCTTAACCTCTCAGAAATCACCCATAAATAAAAGGCTTTCAAGGAATCATCTTCCAAAGCTCTGTTGTAGATAGCAGACTTTCTAGAGGTCAACAATGGATAAAATTAAAAGTTAATGATGAGAGATGGCGGCTTCTCTGGATAGAATACCTTCTCCTGTTGATGAACCTTCTCCTTCTCGTGGTTTTTGAATGGATGGAAAATCCTTCAGTGGTATTCTATGAATAGAAACCTTTGAAGAAGTCTTCTACGAATAATACCTTCCAGAAACCGTCCATTGATAGATTACCTCCTAGAGGTCTTTTATGAACAGACAACCGCTTATAGTTCATCTATGCTTCTATCCATCCCTCCAAAATTCTTCTTAAATAGAATAATCAAGAAATCATCCATGATGTGGCCTGTAACGCTTTCTTCTTCTTCAAGAGGTACTTCAGATTGTCTATCTTGACTTCTATAGATCTTCTATTGATGGAAGAAAGCATAGCAGACCCTCCGTAGGCCTTCTTTAGACAATATACCTTCCAGGGTATGTTTATGTAGAATGTTCTACAGATTTTTAACATTGAAGACCTTCAGAGATTTTCAATTAATAGACGTATATTATCTGGACTATTTCAAAAGGAGACATTTAAGAGATATTCGATGAAGAGGAGACCATCCTTCTAAAGGTCATATATTCTTCTATCCTTCCTTCTACAGTTCTTTTTTGAAAGAACCTTCAAGAAATTTTTTTATAACATAAGTCTTCTAGAGATCTTCCGCCAGAGATGTTCTATGGATGAAAGGTTGTCAAGATAACCTACTAAATATTCTATATTAATGGAAAGAAGGAGAGTAGAGCTTCCTTGTAGTACAGGGTTGCCCATATTCGCTCTGAAATTTACATTCAACAGAAGAAGTCAATTGTGAAAACTCAACGTGCTTTTAAAACATTAAAAAATGTGAGAAGTGCGCCTTCTAAGAACACCATTAAGCGTTTATACGAACAATTTTCGACTGGTAAGGCTCTTTCTAATCCGAAGAGGCCATATAAAAGTCGACCAAGGCGATCGGCCGAGAATATCGCTGCCGTACGAGCCAGTGTTGAGAGGTCCCCAAGGACATCCCAAAAACGCCGTTCTCAGCAGTTGGGCATGGCTCGGTCCACTTTACAACCGATTATTCGCATTGATTTGCATTTGTTCCGTACAAAATTCAATTGACGCAAAGAATGTAGACTGCGGACAAACCTCGTCGGTTGGAATGGGCCCAGAGGTCCGTCGAATATGGGCAACCCTGTATGTCCTTAAATTTCTTACACAGGAGGCCGTCCACAGATCTCGAATTAAATTTTATAGAGGTTTGCTTTAGATGGAGGTGTTAAAAATGTTATCTATGATTCAATAAATGCTAAAGGCCTTCTACGAGTGCTAGGGTCCTTTGTGAAAAAAAGATTTAAACGGTATAAATAGAATAACTTCCATTAACTTTTATAAATATAAACCCCTCCAGAAGTCTTCTTTCCATTCGAAATAGCCCTACGAATATAAATATTCCTTCTTATTTTCGTATCCTCTTCAAGAGATGTCATTTAATTTAGTTTTTTTCTGTTTCAAATAATTCGAAAGTCAATTGCAATTGTTTGATAATTTAAATTGTTGTAGCTACTGTTGCGGAAATGTCGGAAACTTTCTAAATTGTATGCAACCACAGCGCAACACAACAACTAACAATAGAAACCAACAACAAAATTGTTGTATTTAGTTGTTGGCTACCGGTTGTTTGTTCGTCTATTTGTTACTGACAATGAGTGGTATTTGTTGTATGTATCTTCATTTTGTTAACAGCAGCCCAGAGATCTTCGGTTATCTTAAGTTTTTCATTTGTTGTGTTTATTCAACCCGCCGGTACGCACATCAAAACTTTTTGAGTTAGCCATAGCTCAATGAAGGCAGGGACGTTATTTCGAGGCATCGCAGAGAGAAAAGGGGGCCTTCAATCGAAAATAAAAATTTTGTTCTGAATTGTATATAATTTAAAATGTTTTAGAAATAATAAATTGAATATTATAAGTTGTCTGTTTACAAAAAAGTTCCGTACAGGTGGCCACAGTTTTAAGAAATTTTGTAAAAAACATATTTCAAAGTCCCTTTAAAATTTAAAGTTTTACTGACTGCCATATTTTTACCCTTTTCAATATTTTGATAGTAATGAGTAAAAAAGGGTTTTGCTCTCTCGAAATATTTAAATGATTCAATATTGCTGGATATGTATTCAGACACACTTAACATTTAGTCGGAAAAAAAATCAAAAAAAGAATTTGGGCGTATACGTTATGACACCATTAATACGCACCGGTGCACTATATATTTATGCCCTCACCCATATGGCTAGAGAGGGTATATATCATTTGATACGGCCAAAACGTGCCTCATCGAAATAACAAATTTAGACCCTAGGTATCTTTGGACCAAATTCGGTTCAGAACATTTGGAGTCGATCTAGCTGGCTGGTGTGCACGATAACTCTCGAAGGAAGTATCTGATTTGGTTCATACTTGGTACATCGTAATAATAATATCAAATTTAGATAGAGTTCGGATATGGGCAATATCGGTTCACTCCATCAAGTACCTCCCCCACAAAGGGTCACAATTTTGAATATTTATAACTTTTATAAAATTTAATGTACGAGACCGATTGTCTTCAAATTACACACATCGCAATATTTTTGTTAAACCAAGGTCTGGTGTGAAGATGGAATATATCGGTCCACTTCTTCTGGTACCTACCCCACAAAGGGTCAAAATTTTGAATATCCATAAAGCTCATAAAACACGAAATTAAAATCCGATTCCATTCAGACTTTGTACATCTAAATATTTCCATCAACACAAGATCTGTTATAAAGATGGAATGTATCGGTCCACTCCTACT